TGATGATGAGAAGTGGGAAGTGGGCCAATAGGGGATCTGCCGGATCTGGGAAGTGGGGGGAGGGGGGCTAAACTATTTAGCGACTAAACTACTTTTTGCCAGCTCAGTGAGTTTCAATGCGGCCATTATGGAGCGTCTCGTAAATATAGTTCAGTTCGGTTCGTGTCCTTCAACGGTGAGTGGCCAACCTGTTCAGCTGTTTAGTTGTTCATCTGCTCACCTGTCAGGGGCATCATCGCGGCCTGATGATGAGGATACAGATGAGGAGGATGAGCAGGATGCAGGTGCGGATGGGTCAGTGGCAATTACAAGGGGCGCCTCTGGTGGCTCAAATGATTCGCAAACTATTCCAGCCGGTGCAATTATGCACAAACAACAACAGCCACTGTGCAATTGACTCGCTGCGGGATGTTTGTGCAGCTCTCGAAGCGACGTGTCTTTTTAAAACCCCATCTCCTACACTCGGAAAAAAAGGTACTTTAAATAAAACTCTCCATAAATTTAACCATTGCTGCTGAATTTAAATATTTATGTATATTTTGGTAATGAACTATCATTCATGGTTGACCACATTTGTTTTTAGCCTTGGAATGCTAACCTCGGTATCTGAACAGAATATTCTACAACTAAGGTGAAGTTTTTAACTTTACCTTATTTTTTCTAAGTGAACCCGCTGAGTTTGCTCTTAAAGCGGATGCAACTGAGGCGCTGACAGCGCATAATTAGCGCATAGTTGGTCCGTAATCGGCCGAGCAGGAACTTAAGAGGGCGCTGTGAGAAGCGCGGAGAGAGGCGCCAAAAACACTCCTGTTAATTGAGCGATCAGCGCCGGATGATGCTGCGAAATCAATGCAAGAAACGACCACACAGCAAAAGCAGAGGGTTCTTGCTTATCAAGCAAGGAATGCCCAGCACACACACACACGTGATACAAAGTGAAACACTTGGGGGGAAAGTGCTTTTGGGGATATTCAATTACAAGCCTTCCTAATTAACGTTCTGGTCCGCGGTTGCGTGGCCCTCGCCCAGTCACTTAATGAGATTTTCCACCAAATGAGCTTACAGGCCCCCCAAACTCAGAACCAACCAGCCAGCCCCCCATTCCCATGCCCCCTTTCATATCGAATTGAGTGTAGTTAATTGAATTTAGATGCGATTTATGTCTGCAAAGTGCAATTTTGGGCATTGAGAGTTTTTGAAAGGCAACCAGCCACTCATCAGCAAGTCTCATTTATCATTATTAATCCAGAGTTTCTGCGAGTTTTGAAAGCCATCGCAAGGCACATGTAATTTAACTCATTAGCCCGGGCAAACATCGAGGGGATTGGTTGTTTTTTTTTTTTTACTCCCTGGGTTTCCTTTTTTCGGGGGGTTTTTTTTGGGGTAGATGGGTCAACATTTTGAAGCCCGACACCGCAAGGCAAACACAGGCAAATTAATTAATTTCCATTTGAATTGCAGAGCAAGCGGGGCTCTACTGAAATTGAAACGAAACCAAAACAAGAAACCAGCGCAGGGCACAAAATTGATATAAAAATGGAAGAGTGGAGTGAAAAAATGATATAAATAAATATAAACATGTTGGCAAGAGCAGTTTGGGCAGCCGGACAAAAGGACAATAAAGCGCTTTTAATTAATTTCTTTCGCGGCCAGCGTCAAGGTGAAGCCAAACAAAATGGTCGAGTTGAAAAAGTGTTGGCGTGATTTATTTGCGTAGAAGGAAGCCAGTGAGTGAGTGCAAAAACTGCATGCAAATAGCCAAATTTGCCCGTTTTGCGAAATGTTTAAGGTGCGACTCCCCCCGGCCCTGGCCACGCCCATCGGGGGCTTGACATTAATGGAGAGTACGCAAAACCCCCCCACCCAACCAACCACCGACCCCCCTCGATTTCCCTTTGCAGCGGCGTGGGCGGGGCCTTCGTTTGTGGTGGCTCGAAGGTTTGAAGGCTTTTCATGCCATCAACGGAGGGGAAAACGGGGCAATGGGCCAACGGGTCGGATGGAAATTGCGTGCAGGTGAAGTAGATGGTGGGCGTGGTCAGCTGCCCTTTTCTGGCCACTCTCTGAATTCCCCATTCTCAATTATACAGGAAAATGTTCTCCTAAAACATGAGCGCCAAAGATCAGAAACCAGAGAATAAAACTCAAGCTACACAAATCGCCAGAGTGATTTAAGGTGCTCAAAAGTATGCAACAATATATTTCAAACTCTGAAAAACCAAATGTTCTTCTAAAAATTTGAGCACCAAAGATCAAACACCAAGTAACTATACTCAAGACTATTTTGAAATGTTTTTTAAGACAATTGGAGGTGCCACCTAAATCACTAGGGTGATTTAAGGTGCCCAAAAGTATGCAACAATATATTTGAAACTTAGAAAAACCTATGACTTCATTTGGAAAGCGACTGTTTTTTATTCACTGCATACTTTTAGACAGCCCCTAAGGATATTTCTTTTTAACTACTACCTTTTAAATTTGAAGCTTAGATGTTGGTAAGCTAAACCCATCTTAAAGCCATCGAACGACACTCCAAACTCACATCCATTCATCCAATTCGTTAGCTGCGGGCTCTTCAGCTTAATTACGATTTTATTGGATTTTATACTCAGTGAAGCCTGCGGCGCGAACGGGGGCAGAAACATCAAAAACATTGCCACCGACGTAAATTAAGCATAATAAATAAATTACCATAATTATAAAATGTGTGAGCGGCAGCAGAAAAAGGCGACATCGTATAAATGCGTCGGCGAGAATTACATAAAATATCAACGCGAGCAAATATGCAAAAAAAAAAAAAGAAAAATGAAATAAAATTAAAGTAAAAAAGGCAGAAAGAAAAACCGAATGAAATGAAATGGAACGAAACGAAAAAACGAGAAAACGAAATGCAAATGAAAAACCAATACAATATTTGTCATTTACATACATCATACATGGGTGGGGGGGGATGAGTGTGTGTTATTTCGATTTATGTTGTGGCAACACAGCAACTGCAGGCGACAGCCGAGGACTCCAATCCGAATCCGAATCCAAATCCTGGCGGCGGCAAGGAGTCAGGGTGAAATTTGCATGTCAGAATCAAATGCGACAGTTTTGACAGCTTGCCGGGCTCATTATTTGCATACAGATGATCGTAATGACGCCGGCGATGAGTATGAGTATGGGTATGGGTATGAGTATGAGTGTGAGTCTGGGTATGGATCTGGGGTCCTGACCTGACCCCACCCGAGCTGGCCTTAAACCACATACCAAACACATGACACTGGCTGAGCAAATGGTTGGAGAACCACTATTCAACTGCGACTGAAGACCTCAAGTGCAGACTTTGGCTTTATGAATGATTTATTCACAGAAACGAGAAGTCCCTAAATCAAGTTCGTTTTGAAAGCATTTATAAAAAACGTCGAAAAGTATGCAGCAAATAATTTTCAATAGTGAAGCTTTGATGGATTCCCAAGCAAAGGTGGAATTTATATTATCGCTGCATACTTTTAGACACTTTTATAAAAAAAATTCAAAACATTTCGCACTAGAGCATCAACCCACAAACTTTTGGAGGTATACCATGTTAAAATCACATCCAAAAATATAAAATACAAAACTTAATGTTTTAAAAGATACGAAGTATCAATATTAAACATAACAGCCATAATATAAAATGTACGAATGTCGATGTATCTATTCCATGGTTCGCCACATAATCGCATCTAAGGTTGGATGTAAGCTAACAGGATCATTATAATCCTATAATCAAAATCCGCACGCCAAGAACAGACATCAAAGCAGAGGTAATTTTATTACAAATCAATGGCAGAGACAAATTTCCCTAGTAAAAAAGAGAAAATGAAAAATACAGCACTCTGCCCGACTCCTCGGGCATTTGGTGTACATATCCTGATTAATATTCTGGCTCTTTAAATTTGAAATAAAAGCTGCAATCGGATTTATTTAAGCTGCTCCGAATCCGAATACATTTTTCCTTCCCCCCCCCCCCCCCCCCCCCCCCCCCCCCAGCAGGCAAACAAAAGCAGACACATGGACAGCTGTTGGCTGTGATCTGATTTCATTTGCCCTGCCACACATGTCGTACTCAATACATTTTCCTCGGGAAAAACTGCGGGGCCAATGCAATGTCAATATTTATGAACTATTATTGAACATTTGACGAAGCTGATGATTATGTTGCTGCTGCTGCTGATGATGATGATGATGATGATGATGATGTAACAACAACAGCCAGGAGGAGCACGAGTTGAGCAGATGAAGTGAAGCTTACATTAGCCAGCGACTGGCAGAAGAAAAATTTAATTAAAAAGTTAAAGGAAATGGAACGGAGGCAAAATGTTGACTATGGAATGCCAATTTATGACAGCGACGACAAGGATGCCATGGCTTCGATACAGGATACACACACACACACATACGCATGGTTAATGAGAAGGGGAAGTCCCGCAAAATGCAAAAAGCGAAAATTAATGGAAAATTAATTAAGTGTCGTTTAATGTTGTCTCAATGTAAACGCTTTCAACGCAGCGCAAATTAAATTGTTGATGCCATACAGCAGGACCACTCAGCTTTTGCTCCCTTTTTTCCCCTCCGTTTGGTGGCTGCTTTTGATTTATTGGTTTTCCTTCTCCGGACTTAAAGTTCTTTTTTATATATGTACATATATATATGCATATTTTTTTTATATGTTACCCAGTATTTTCTCGACTGCTGGTGGGGCTGCATTCTGGAGCCTCAGTCGAGCGTTAGCCAGGGCCATAAAATTACATTTTCTCCCCCCCCCCATCCAGCACAACCACCCACCCTTGACCACATGGCGTATGCGCAATCTCAACGAGGCAAGGAGCGGCCGAGCCACTTTTCCATATGCAAAGTGCAATGGAAATTGCAATTTTTCATGCGGCTTCCCTTTGGCTTTTCCCTTGCAATTCAATCAAATACAAAATGTAAAAAAAATAGGAGGGGGGGTTGGAATAGAGAGACACACTTACCTTCTTGCAGTAATCAAGCAAATCCATTTTATCACGCAAACATGTGGCGCCGGTTGTCTTCTTGCTGAGGTCCGTCACCCAGCGTCCCTCCTCGGATAGATATTGCGGCTGATAGATTTGTCCGGCCTCGCAGAGAACTGCTATCTGGGGTTCCCATCGTGGAGAAGCGGCCTGTAAAAAAGAAAAAAAAAAAATAAAAAGAAGGTTAGTCTGCCATTCTGGTGGTCAATTGACTTCCGTTTTCAGCGGAAAGTAACAAGTTGTCACTGTCAGAAGGGAATGGAGATATTTAAAAAAAAAAAGAATTCCCATTCTAGCAATGCCAACAATGCGTATGCGTAATGTGTGATATGTGTGTACACAAGTATTTTGGTATCTGCTGTGTGAGGACGACGAGCATGAGACATCAAGAAAGCCAAAGACAAGACAGCAGCAAACAGCAGACAAAGACATGCCAAGGCACATTAATCATACGCCACATTGTACAGGCACAACCCACATTTCTAAGCACCCCCCACCCTCAAACACACACACACACTACCGTGACAAAGCGATAAAAAATGATGCCACATCGTTTGGTAGATAGGCAGATACTGAATACTGAAATACTGGGAGATACTGTGAGATACTGTTGGTACCCGGCAGCCAAAGAACAATTAATGGCCGTCATTAAGGGGCGTCGACGGCGGTGGGGGCGTGGCAAATGCTGAGTCCAGGCGATTGCTTAAATGCTTCATTACCACATGACAGGAGCAGCCAGCCATGTGGCCAACTGCAGGCCCTCCGAGCGATGATGAATGTCCGGGCAAATTATGCATAACGATATCAATTGATACATTGATTGATTGACGCCCATAGAGTGACGAAAGTGCGAAAGGAAGGCAGGAGCTGGACCAACATCAGCAAAATATGCTACTAAACTTTAGGGAAACTGTTTGTTTTATTCATTATTGTTTTCTTGATATAATGAATTCCTCCATTTAGTAATAGGAAAGGTGGTTTCTAGAGAGTAAAGATGTCTAAAGGTGTCTAAAAGTATGCTATATAATTTTACTCTTTTAGAACAATATTACTTAGTTAAACTGCCGTGCTTCTTCATTTGTTGAAAATATTTATTGTATCCCTATAGTAAAGGGATACAATATTATTATACAATTGTTATATATATTTGTGGAAGAGAAGACTATCCCATTTCTTTATTTTTTCGCTCAGTACAACGACACTTGACGGTGCGCTGTAGAAATCATCAAAGGGATAATCACCAGAGACAATTGGAGAATCACTGCGAATGGGGAGCGGGATTAATGTGCAAAGGGATGGAGATTTCGAGCAGAATTTTGAGACAATGCCGGCGCTGATTGCAATCAAAGCGAGTTGCTCGCCGGCCCCAGCTTTTCACTCTCCAATTATGACCGGCAACAATGGTAGTTTTTCTGATCTGTGCTTTTCCTTTCAGCTAGCTAAAATCCCGAGGCTTAAGTCCCAGGTTTTTGTTTCAATTTTTTTCGCGCGCGCGCGCTCACAAATAAAGTAGAGCAGACATTTCCGCCCCCGATTTTGCACAGCCTGCGCCTTTCAAAGCATAAATAAAATCCGGAAAAAATCCGATACTCCGAAAAATTAAAGATACTTAAAGGAAAGGTACAAAACTAAGAAAGTAACTTAAAATCGCATATAAATGTCGGATATAAAAGTCTGTAAATCAGATTTAAAACTCTGAAAATCAACTGTAAAAGTCCGAAACTCATAAATTCCTTTTTAATCCCATCTGAATGATTCCGTATCCCTGAAAACCTTTCAAAAGAATGCGAGGAAAGTGTCGATAGGTCTAACAGCTTTAAAATATTTCTGAAATTTAATACCTGCTGCTCGACAGCCTTCCGAAATTAATGCGATAAACATTCTGTGTCCCACTTAAAATGATTTCCAACTTGAAATGCATTTACCCCAGAGATGGGAATGTTGCAAAGTGATTAAACGGAAACTTTCCCTATCGCCGGGCACTCGATTTAATGATGCCCTAATGCATTCATAAATACATAAAGCTCTGTTCCACAATATAATTATTGATCGGAAATGCTGGGAATTCGACATCCCCCCCCCCCACTCACACACACACACTCAAATAGCAAAGTGCATTGAGTGGATACTCGCAAGTAACGGATACTTGTAAAACTTCATTAAAGCCGACTTCCGGTTGCCAAGGCAGCAGCTGAAATATGCATTGTACCCACGGGCCATTTTCCATTTTCCAGCCAGCTAGCCCAGCCCCCTGTTGAATTTTCTTCGCCCCTCGGTTGTTGTCAGTCGAGCAAAAGTGATGTGATGTGATGTGTTTGTGTGTGAGCTCAACTATTTCAAAAGTAATTAAGTTGGCAAAAAGGCGCCAACGCAGCTTGGGCTTAGCTTTTGTTTGTCAGTTTTGGGGGCTAAAAGCAAGGGGGAAAAATGGGGGAAAATTGTTGGGTTTCGGCAAAAAGGGTGAAAGGCTGAAAGGTTGAATGGGGGCGGGGTAGATGGAAAACCCAGTGACAGAGGCGGGCCAGCAATTTTTCCAGGCAATCTAATAATTCAACCAAAAGCAACCACACACGCACACACTTTTCGCATGGCCAATGCCCTTTTGCAGCAATGTGTGTGTGTGTGTTGTGTGTGTGTTTGTTTATGCAGATTTTGTTTGGCTTTTGCCCGAGTTGGGATTGCACTTGTTGTTGTTGCCGCTGCCCTGCCGTTGTGTTGTTTACACTAACACCAACAAAGGCATATGCCAAAGGGGGGTTTTTCAGGGGGGGTTGGGCAATAATAATGTCGCTAGCCATGGCAACGCAATGTGCAAACAAAAACACAAAGACAAATTTGTAACAACTGTGGGGTTTTTTTTTTTGGGGCTGAAAAAGGTATCCCCAGAAGAGGAAGAGCCCCATCTATACGTATGTGAAAGAGTGCATGTCCTGCGACAATTATGCGGAATATCCTCTTTTGGCCAAGCGAAAATAATGAGGATAGACAGGAGCAGCCATTAAACGCAGTTCAACCCACTTAATCCTGGTCTCGAGAGCGGAGGTACGACATTAACGACACAAAAACAAGGCATCACCATTCAAGTTGACAGTGTTGTAAAATAGGGAAATATCAAATATCAAAATGATTAAAGAGTTACCACACAAGCACTTAAATATCAACATTTATAAAAGTGTTTCAAATGAATACAATGATGAATAGTTTCTCAGCTTTCTTTCATTTTAAAACACTAAACATTTTATAACATTCAGAAAACTAGTGTTTATTTATAATTTTTCAACACTACATACTGATTAAACAGTTCCCATAGAAATAAACAAGGAAACATTTGAACTTTTTATTTTGGCCATATTAACTAAAGTTTTAAAAAAACCTAATAGTTTTCTACATTCAAAAAATTTATTTTCTTGGTTCTTAATTATTTTTAAACCCTTTTCCAACACTACCAAATACTTTTATCAGAGTGTTCCAAACGAACACTTGGCTGCATATTAACTGGACCTTTAATATTATATTAAAGCCCCAAGGATTATTTTTTTTACAATTTATGTTTAATTTTTAAACAATTCTACCATTGATGAATATATTGTTCATAATATAAGAAAACTTTAATCTTTTATGGGTTTCTAATTGAAATCTAAGAAATACCAGGACAACGACCAACTTGTAACTTGAAATTCAACCTGAAAACACCTAAAATGCGGTTATTACCATGCTAACAAGTGGCCTCGGGCTGCATATTGCGGCTGAAATTTGCATCCTGCCCGAAATAGACAATTTCGCCGCTGAAAATTGATGAGGCCCTTGGCCATAATGATCGAAGAAAGTAATGCGGAGATGGGGCAAATCAGAAGCCGCCAAAGTGACAGGCGACAAAGGGAAATTGCAGCAGCACCAGGGTGTTAATGGGGTGGTGTCAGAGGTGGACTCCTGGGAAAATTCAGGGGGGGGGGATGGCCGAGTGCAACAGCCAAAACGCTGCCACTTGCGGCCACGCCCACCGACCAAATCCGCCCCAGCTTCCGTCTGCTGCTGTCGTTTCACTTCCTCTTTTCTCGCGCTCTGGTGAAAGGCAATCATGGTGGAAAACCACCGCCCACTCCGCCGGAAAAGCCCCCCCCCCTTTTCATCCGCACTGTTTGCTGAACAAGCTGAAAGGGCGACAAATTGTAATCAAATGCACGCATGAGTGTGTGAGTGTGAGTGCGCTTGTCCTCCGCCTTGCCACCGAAAAGGGGCGTGGCCGTGCGTGTGTGTGTGTGTGCGACAGGTTTGTGCTTGTTGCCCGGCCAAAAAGAGCGAAAAAACACGCTTAATCGGAGGAAAAAGGGGGGGGGCATGTGAGGTGAGGGTTTTGGAAAATAGTGGAAAGCCATTGATTAACCTGCTGGGCGGAGAGTCAAACGGTGTACTCCCATTTGGAGCTTGCAGCTCATAAACTTGCCAAGTAATTGGAGTTTCGATCAGGGGCCCAAAGTATGCAGCAGGAAATGGGGACACCGGAAAAGGCGGGAAAACCTGTTTCGAAATGAGTTTGCAGCGAGAGATCCAAAGTGAACTCCTGAACGAGAAATCTCTATCAATAGAGAATTAATTGGGGGTGTAATAGAAAGTTACTGCCTACTTTTTGACATCTTTATAAGTTACGAGTGTGTACTACATATATGTGATTTCTTTGCTGATAATGGATACAAAAGCAAATGTTTATGGTCACTTGAGCCGAAATCCATTATAACTCAAATCAACACTACAGAATAAAAGATGGTAAAATATTTGGATACTTTAGACTAATTGGCTTGAACTGTGTATTGATTCTTAAGATAGAAAAAATATATTTCTGAGACCTCCTCAACTGCAACAAAAACGCAAATATGCTTGAAAAATCCCAACTATAAAGCAAGCCATGACTTCAAATGGAATTAATTTTCTGACGATCAAGTAACCTTAGCACTTGCTAGCACACCAGTTTGCATTACATTCCCCATCCCGAGCTCAGTCATCATTCGAAACTTCTACCGACAACATCGACTTGAAACGAAAAACTTAGACATTTACAAAATGGGAAACTTAATGAAATTCATAAAGAAATTTTTCAAAAAAAACATCTCGGCAAAACAAACCGCAGACATCAATGACATTTCCGGTGACTTAGAACCGGCCTACGTAGAGACCAACTTGCGACGTCAGTACTTGCAGACCATGGTGGAGAGTCTGCCGCCTTCAGTTCAAAGCAAGTTGGTGATGATGAAGAATATGCAGCTGGAACGGATTTATGACGAGAAGGAATTCTACGTTCGTGTCTTCGAAATGGAGGTGGACCAGAATGAGAGCAACCAGGAGATGTACCGCAAGCGCAGGGCCATTATCGAGGGAACCTGGCAGCCACCGGATACGGTGCCCAGTTATAAGGTGCCAGATCCATTGGAGCCGAAGGCGGCAGTCTATTTTCGTGAGGCCCTGGCTAAGTTCAAGTCGGTGCCCCCTGAGACCAGGGGCATTCCCGATTTCTGGATAACCGTGTTCCGCAACACGTGTATCGCCGGGATGATCCAGGAGCAGGATGTGCCGGCCTTGCGCTTCCTGGTCGATATATCGATTCATTATGGCAAAAAAAAGGTAGGTTTTTAACCGGTTATCTAGGCAAATTCCCAATCCAAAACTCTCTTCTTGTCACAGCCCTCATTCACGTTAATGTTCCATTTTGCCAAGAATCATTTTTTTATGGACCAGTTTCTTACCAAAACGTACTTCCTTAAGATGGGCATTGATAATAGGAATCCGTTCTCCTTTGAGGGACCCCAGATAACCCACTGCAAGGGCTGTGAAATTTTCTGGGAGCCCAACATGAATCTCACCACCGAGGTGCGTCAGAAGAAGCTGCGCCATCGCGGCGACGGAGATCAGCGCATCATCTACGAGACCTATCTGTCCGATTCGTTTTTCAACTTCTTCGATCCACCGCTGATGAAGATGCGCAAAGATAACTATAGCGAGAAGCACAAGGCTCTGCGTGCCGATTTCAAAATTGCCCAATATCTACGCACTAGGATTATACCGAAGGCAGTGCTCTATTTCACTGGCGACATTGTTGAGGAAAATTTCGTTCGAGATGAGGATGATACCACCGACGAATACAGCGACGACGAGAAGAAGGATGATGATTACGAGAAATACGACTTCTCTGATGTTATAAGCGACGAATCATCGACGCAGTCGATGTGATTCCTATATTTATTACGTTTCACCCGTTTCATTTTTAATTTGGTTAAAAATGTATATATATTTTGGTACCTGTATCTATGAGATACGAACTCTCAACTGAAAAGCATTAAAATCCAAGTATGTACATAGAAAACTGTATAGAATGTTTTCATTGCAAGGACTAGTTTTATAATATTTATTTTATAAACCACAGTCAATTTGAACTTTCGATTTAAATACTTAAGTCATCTCTTGTGTCCTGGCCAAGAGAAAGTAGAAAGTAGAAAGCAGAGAGCAAAGCAGACCGGCCAATAAGTACTTCGGGGGCTACTTATAATGGCCAAAGAGGGAGGAGAGCCGACAGAAACACAATTATGTTAATGTTTACTCGACCGTAATTAACTCAAATTTATGATATTTTAATTTCGCCCGAGCGGGACACTCGAGAGCGGCCAAAGTTGGAAAAGCTCGGGAGCAAATGAGCGATGAGGAAAATTGTGGGGGTTGGGTGGGGGGTTTGGAAAAGCGGCAGCGAAACAAACAAAAGAAAATTGCGTTATAATAACACACGTAAAAAAGTTCCCCATTCCCTGTGTCGCCTGTTATGCTTAATGCGAGTTGGAGACAAATAGAATTTTAATGCAAAATAAAACGCAAAATGCTTTCTCTCCTCTTCGGAGTCCTTTTTTTTAGTCCTTACTTTCTTTTTCCTATTTTTTGTTTGCTTTCTTTTTGTTTCTTTGGCAGTCGGCGACAGGCGAAGGAATAACAAATGCGTTTGCCTGATCGAGGGGATAATTACAGTGCGTTTCATGGGCGTAGGAGTGTTCAGCGAAAAAAACGTGTCAAAAAGTTCAACAATAAATAAAAAATTGTAGCAAATAAAAATCTCAATGCTAAATCGACAGTTGAACATTTTCATGACCTAAATATTTGATTGAAAATACAAGGCTCAGCACTCCAGGGATTTTACATCCATAATTCAGCCTTCCAAAAAATGTTTTTTAAATTGCAGTTTTCATGATTTATCTTTAGAGAGTGAGCTCTCCAAACGTTTTATGACCTGACAATTTTGAACCGCACTGTCCCTCAGTTGCAGGCAAGTTGGGCATTCAAATTATGCTTTGCATGTTAAATGTGCGGACCAACAGTCAGGCAGAAGAAATGAGCATGGGTGGAGTGGCAAGGGGGTTGGTTGGTTGGTTCTTTTTTTTTTGTGGGGGGGGGGGGGAGGAGGAGGAAGACCAAACACGTAGCAAGTGCAGATGAAAAAGCTGCAAAGAAAACAAAAACAAATTGTGAAAAATAGCCACAAGCTAGGGCTTTTAGGATATATAAAGGGGGTTCATGGGTGGCGCAGAAGGGGGGGAAACCTAAGTAGCGTGTCGCTTGAAGTAAGTCAAAGTTGGGAAATGAAATCGCTTTTCTTCTCTTTCACACCCGCGGACATTTTTCCTATTTTTTGGAAGCCATTGGCGAACTCCCACACACACACAGATACAGACACACACAAAGACAGGGCTATTATTTATGAGTTTTCTACGTTCGCTGCTGCTGTCTTTTGTGCATTTTCGCTTTTTGCCATTTAACTTTTTTGCCCATGATTTTCCTCTTCTTTTTTTTGCCTCTGTATGTGTGTTTTTTCTCGCTTCTCGCTTGTTTGTGGCTCAATTTCGAGTGTCAAAAAGCCTTGTTGTTGCTGTTTTGTTGATGATGACTCAGCGCACACAGAGGCGTAGGGGGTGGGCCTTCCAGCAGGGGTTAGTGTGGGGGGGGGAGGGCTTAGGAAGGGGCATGGATTTTCGTTGGCCTGCTTTCTAGCCACTTTTTTGCTTTCTCTACTTTTCCGCTTGAAGCCCGAAACGTGCCTAAGTGAGTGTGTGTGCCCAGGCATATGTATGCGTTTAATTCCACTTGCACACACCCACACACAAACACAAACACGCACACGTACACTCGAATGCAGATCGAAAGAAGCAAAGACTGAAACTCGAAACTTTTTGGCCAAAACTTTTTGCAGCCAGTAAAAACCCAAAAAACATTTCTTTATTTCATCTACATCTCTGTCACTTTCTCCCGCTCTCCCCCGCTCTGTCTCTCTCCCTCTTGCAGGTAAATCGGATGCTTTGACAGCACTCACTCACCCACATTTACACACAAACACACTGACACTCACACACACACACACACACACGCATGCGAATTGAAATTAATTTTGTGAAAAGTGCCTGCAAGTATGCAACACAATTTTTCCAAGACAACTTTCCCGCACGCGTGTCTCTGTGTGTGTGTGTGTGTTTATGTGTCTCTTTTTTCACATCCCTGCTTGTATGTGTGTGTGGCACTGTACTTTCTAATTGATGCTGCTGAAAGCACTTTTAATTACATTTGCGGGCGGCAGGATGCCCCCAGGTTGCAGGCCCGAGGCGGGGAAGCCCCGACCTAAAACTCAACTCAACTCAACTGAATTCGAGTGCCAGCGAATGCTCATCATCATTATCAGTGGCATCATTACTGGAATAGTTGGTACTATGGGAGCGAATAAAAGCTGCAGTAAATGTCACATTTTACAGAAGGGTTTCGAAAATCAATCAATCAAATCACTACGGTTTTGATATTACCTTTAAAGGTCATCTTAGATAGCCTAAAATGTGCAGTGAATAAGGGATAGTCGTGTTTCGGAATAAATTCATTGTATTTCTGAGTTTAAAATATATTGTTGCATACTTTTAGACACCTAAAATGATATTTAAAAGTTTTTTAGAGCCCTAGCTGCAATCTTTTTCGTTCAAAAGATTAAAAATCAATTCCTTTTCGTTAGATTTGATTTTCAAAATGTATAATCAACATAAAAAACATTCGATTTTCTTTCAATAAATCTGCAAAATCAAATAAATGTTGGTTGCTTAGACAACACTATTACATTCCCAATACATGGGTATTCGACACGGAATTTGCGAATATTTATTGCCACCCCTAGGTAGCTAACTATCATCAAATGAAAAGTCACCATCATCATCATCGTCATCATCATCAAGCAGAAGCTGCAGGAGTTTCCCTTGGTTCTCAGCAGTTCATCATCCTCGCAATGGCATTTTCAATTTCAGTTTTTGCACTTTTATCGGAAACTGCATTTGGCCACTCGTCCCAACCCCCCATATCGTGGCACCCTCCCACCTAATTGATTCGGCATGGCAATCTCCTGCAGGAGGTAGCTCTTCAATTATACAACTTTTTGCCCCAAAATGAAATTACTCAAGTTTGCTGCCTCGCTGCGATGCGATTCGTATTCTGCAGTCTGCACTCTGCATTCTACACTTTCCTTGCATATAATGCCTGATTCCCATTGACGCCTTTATCTATCTCCATTTCTATTCTTTATACTCGGTACACCCCAAATAATTTGGGTCACTCCAGTGGCCACTTTTGAACGTCTCTCTCTCTCTCTAGTGCGGTTCATTATTCCTCGATTTGCTGCAGGTCCTTTTGCCTCCTCCAGTCGTCTCATTTCATTTCATTTCACTTCATCTCATTTCATTTCGATTTTTTATTCAGCTAATTGAGTGCGAGCTGCAAAATGGCCAAGGAAATTGTGTAGGAGTGCGTTTAATGGCCCAAGATGACAATTGAAAACTCATTTGTTATGGCCTGATGTAGTTAATCGATGGTTTTGCCTATTTTCCTCCTCATCCTCCTCCTCTTCCCCCTAAAAAATGGCAATGATTCATGGTAGAAAGTGGACAGAGAAGGAAAGACAAAAAAAAAAGGTAGAATAAGAGTCGAAAAGATGGAGAAATTACTTAATGTTCTTTGGTATATTACATTTGATGGTAAATGGACTGATGGCCATTTGCTAAAGGACTTCATTTGGTTTTCAAATTAAATGATTCCTTTGTACAGCAAAGTAGTCTCAAGCTACCAAATTACTAACTAAATTTGAACACTGTTTACCAATATAATATGCATAAAATATATATGCACTCTGTACAAAGCTTAATTGAAAGAAATTAAATTAAAATGTGAAATCCACTCGGATCCCAAAAAAGTCCACCATCATACCGCATTTGAGGTAATCAACCAAATTATCCACTAGTAGGGCCCCAAACTTCTACCACTATTTCGCCCAATTTTAGGCCAGCGAAAAACCGGAAAACAGAAATTCGAATTGGGGGAAATGGCAAATGGAAAACCCATGCGCAACGAAGTTAACTGAAAAATTAACGCTGAATCAGCAAGGCAATCAACAAAAATTACGCAACATTAATGCGCTTACAAGCAGGGATCAGCTGGGCAGAAATAAGAAGAGTCGGGGATTCGACGACCGACCATATATATATGGTCCATATATGTATGTATGGATGTATGTATGCTGTGGCCGTAATGAAAATGCTGGCTAACAACATTTTAATCCCGGCCACAAATTGCTGAGGCTTAAAGCGTTCGTTCGATAATAAATATGATTAATTTTACACAAAAAGCCACAGAAACAAGGCCGGAAAGTGCATGTGCGAAAGAGACAGATGCGGCTAAATAGATAGAGATGGGTATAGAAACAGACAGCTGAACTCTAATAAGTACAGTTGGCCACAAAACATTTTGGGGGCTAGAAGGGGGATAAAAGGGTATTTGGCTAAAATGCAATAAAGCTGCCAAACAAAAAAAAAACTAATCAACAAATTATGGCAGGCAAGTGGTTTGGCCGGGAAATGAGAAAAGCAAAGGGAAAATAGGAAAAGTTGGAGAAAATTCAGTCGGGGTAAAAGGGAGGGATAGATCAAGGGCGAGAGAGAGACAGAGAGAGAGAGAGGTGGCTGAAAGATGGAGTGCTGCATTCTTTTGGGCGACCATTGCAATTCAATTAACTGTGAAAACTAATTAAGTGACTCCTGCCGAGAGCAGGCAGCCTCTATCCTTAGAAGCCTATGCATGTGTGCACTGAAAAAAACCGTATTGTATTGAAAATATTTTAAAAGTAATTAAAAACTACTTGTTTTCTTTACAACTATAACAATTTACAAAACTCTTTGAGGGTTAAGATAAATATTTATATAGTATCCTTTTTTGATGACATTACAAATGTTAGAATGCAATATTTTAGAATACTCCTTTTTTGTAGGGAAAATGTTATGTTTT